AAGATGTACAGGGAAAAAATAAATAAATAAAAATAAAATAAAAAATAAATAAAATAAAAATAAAAACTGCTTCAAACTCAAAATCTAGTTACTCGATTCAAACCAATTTTTTTTTAACGAGAACTTTGCTTTACTTTTTGATGAAACTTTGGGGCAATTATAAATAATAATAATAATAATAATAATAATACCTACATTTGATATAGCGTCTTATCATGTCGGAAGGATGTCTCAAAGCGCTTCACAGGATATACTGGGAAGTGCAGTGACTGTATTTTGTGGGTGAAACAATAATAGTAATAGTCTATTCCCCTTTACTTTTCAAGTGGTGCTATAGAGTCGTAAAAGTCCACCTGAACAGGTAGATGGGACCTTAGTTTAACATCTCATCCAAAGAACAGCGTCTCTGACTTTGCAGCACTGACCACCCACCACTGCACTGGAGCATCATCTTAGAATATATGAGTTCAAAATCCCGATGCGAGGTTTGAACGCACAAACTTCTGACTTGGAGACGAGTGTGCTACCGACTGAGCCGGGCTGATTCCCTATTTGTTTGGACGTGGTCATAAATCGTTCATAGACTGACGCAGTGTCTCGTCTGGGTTCTGTCACTCTCTTAGTTTTGTACTATTTTATCGTTCTTGCAAGCTCCTTAATTCCCGCAAATCTCTTGCTAAAGCTTCACAGATTATTCTATTTGAATCAATCTCTCAGGTGAAAGTGAAATTTATTTTCAAGAGCATTCTGCTTCTCTCTTTCTCTCTGTCTCTCTCTTTCTTTCTCTCTCTCTCTCTCTCTGTCTCTCTCTCTCTCTCTCTCTCAGCATTCACGTTGTTTCCCGACACTTTGCACTTCATCTCACACATTATAAATGCTCGCTAAATAATATATTGGTTTACAAAAAATCCTCATCTACAAAACAATCAGTTTCCTATCTCCTATACAGCTCCTTAAATGGGAGTTTGATTAATGGTGCTTCCCTTCCGTGAGGTTTTCTTTTTACGTACACACACATACACACACACACATACACTGACAGCAAATGCATTCACATGATCTGCCATTTACAAACCATGTGGACTGGAAGCGGAATGAGTCAAACCGTCCGGGAAGCAAACTCATCAATTATGAAGAGCGACTGCTCCCATTCCGTGAAGGTCGTGCAGGCTTACGATAAAACAATTAAGGAAAGTGATCGGCCCCCCCCCCCCAAATCGCCAGCCTCGCACCTTATTAAAAGGAGCTCGGAGCTGCACGCCTGGAACCTTGAGCTTGGGTCGTTACTTGTGTCTTCGATTGAGAATCGAACGCCACGCTCCCCCTCCACATAGACGGTCACGAGCCTTCACGGTAAACCCTGTGAGGCGCTTTGAGATGCAAGCAAGGTGCTCTGTCAAACGCAAGGATTATTTTACTGATTAAAAATTGCTGCTTGTCTCACGTTGCGACTTTCAATTCACACAGTCTAGGCTGACACTTCAATGCAGTGCTGAGGGGGGGTGGGGGGTGGGGGGGGCGGCGTTGCATTGTCAGAGGTGCCGTCCTTCGGGTGAGATGTTAAACCGAGGTCCCATCTGCCCGTTCAGGTGGACGTTGAAGATCCCAAATTCGAAAAGAGAAGGGAGTTTCTCCCCGTGTCCCAGCCAACAATCCCCCAGTTAAAATCAGTCATTCACCCCATGGCTGTTTGGGGGGACATTGCTGTATGCAAAATTGGCTGTCGTGTTTGCTTACAAATGCACAGTCTCTACACTTTACAGTAACCAGCTGTCAAGTGTTTTGAGATGTCCTTCCCACGTGAAAAGTGCCATACAAAATGCAACGATTATTGTTGTTATTATTAATTAATTGTTGAATACATTAATAATTAGTAATAATATCAATCCTAATCATAAATATAATAGCATATTTACAAAGAATTCTAGTAGATTACACTGTGCTGCATCAGCCGCGGAAGGCTTACAACAGTGGGACATTTAAGTGATCATTTTCCCCTTCCCCCTCCCTTCAATGTAAGAGAATAATTGAAATACTATTATCTACCCAGAGATGCCTGGGCTCCAAGCACATTATACTTCATTACAGTATTATCAAATCTCATCAAATGTTCAGTGGAGTTCAAACTGCATTTCACCAGCTAAACACGATAAGTACAGTACTTAGTTTCCAGCGAAAGCTGACATATCATTCACAGTATTCACTTGGCTCATTACAGCAAAAAAAAAGTAATTAGTATAAATTTAGATGGTGCAACTGTCGAAGCGTGTATCACTCGTTAATCATTGTGGCAGGAAAACTTCAGGTAACTTGGTTTTCAGTGGCAGCAGATTCCTCCTGTTCAGTGATAGACTATGTCTGGGGATGGAGGTGGTGGGGAGGTAGAGGAGAAGGTAACTAGGGAATAGGGTAAATTGTCACACAGGGGGAAATCAGGTAGTATCGTTCGTTCACTTTGCGGCTGTTTGCATGACTCTGCTGTGTCCAAATGGTCACTGCATCTTTCAAGGAAATCCTGTAAAGTGCTTTGAGGTGAAAGACGAAACCTCAAATGCAGGGATTGATTATTAATTATTATTATGATTATTCTTATTGTACAGGCCTGCTGTATTTCCCTCTGCCCCCTCCCCGCCACCATCACCGGCCAAGCATTCAGTCACTACGCCCCCTAAGCCCCTGGGATTCCTTGCCTCCATCCCTCCGCCAAGACCCCTCGCTGCGTGTCTTCAAATACAATCTGCACACCTACTTCTTCTACCGTGCCTACGGCCACTGCTCCCTGACTCAGTGCCAATCATTCTACTGTTAAGCATTCTGAGGCATCGCTTGACATGAAGGGTACTGCATAAATGTTGTTGTATTTCACAATTATTAATAATAATTCCAATCGACAGCCAGAATGTAATAGCAGAAAGGGTGGTGCTTGCCGTCAATACTCACTGAAATAAACTGCCTGTTAAGAGAGGACAATTGGATTCCAATAAAAAAAAAGCTCATTTTTCCAACCTGTTGTTATTCGTGTAAATCCACCTATTCCACGGTGACTCTCGATTTAATCATCAGGGAATATCCTCAGTGGAATAAACAACTAAACTAAAGTCTCTCCCTTAGCTGGAATGGTCCTGAGTGAGATTTGCTTTGATAATGGATTTTCAACGCAGGTTTTTTTTTAGTAAGTACCTTGAGGTCAGCCATGATCTTATAGTTGGGCGGAACAGGCTCGAGGGGCTGAATGACCTCCTCCTGTTCCTACGTTCCAAAGAGCATTTTGTGAATATTACCAGCACCCCACAAGGCGCATGTTTTAAGTCTTAAGAAAATGACGCCAATTAATAGAGGCATACGAGGGCATGGTGGCTCACACGTGTATAAATATTGGTCATCTCTCTCTGCTCGTGTGAGATAGCATTCACCAGTGTGCAAAAAAAACTAATAATAACAATAATCCTTGCATTTTGATATAGCGCCTTATCACCTTATTGAGGCATCTCAAAGTACTTCATGGGACAGCAGGGAATGCAAAATTCACTGATAACCTACAGGTTTTCTTTGCAAAATGACAGCATTGCACAAAGGAGGCAAATTTCGATCGAGATTTTGAAAACATCTGACAGGTCGAAAGGGTGTTTGGTGGTGTGGGAAAGTTGGCAATGCGGGCGGGGGCACAGTTTCCAACGGATGATGACAAGACGTCAGGGCGAATGGTTCACGGGAACGCCTGCCGCGGGATTCCAAGTGACTGGCGGGTTTTGCCAGAGAGAGAAAAAAAAACAAGGAGTGGGTCGTTCAGCTCAGATGCAAAGGGAAGAGCAATGAGGGGAGCGGGTCTGCAGATTCACACCCCACTTTCTCCCTCTCTACCCCCTCTTCCCTCTCCGTCCACCGCGCATTTGATCTGTTAGGAAGGGGGAAACACACTGCCTCCCTACGAGCAGTCGTGGATTGAGTGACCGAATTACTATTCCGAGAAAAAGTTCTTTCGGCTTTCCCCCTTTACGGCTGAATCATAGACACTTACGGCGCAGAAGGAGGCCATTCGGCCCCTCGAGTCTCAAGGCCAAGCTGTCCGTTCAATCCCACTGCCCTTCCCTGGAATATGCCCACACCCTTTTGAGCTCGTTTGTTCCACTGTACTTGTCTGCAGAGGGAATCGTTGTCAGAACACATCCCACGTGCAGAGAAAGGGAAGCCACCTCAGCCTGACACTCTGAACACCAAGATGAGCACATTACGCTTATGTACCAACATTAAAGCATAATACCATAAGTTTGGCAGTGACACTCAGCTGCTCAGAGTTCTGCTTTATCTCCCCTATAAATCTAACAATGCCTTTATGCTATGTGCTGCCTTTGACAAGTTGAAAGCCTCTCGCTGCTGTTTTGATAAGAGGATGAGCTTTTATTGTAATTTTAGAATTCAGACGTTTCACCCAGATATCAGAATCGCATTGTCACACTGTAGAGTCTGGTCTCAAGTGACATGTCCTGGCAATAAAGCTTAAACCTGCACCGCACTGATCATTTCCATAATAGCACTGCCATCCTGTGTACACAAACCACCAAAGGTGTGATGTATCATTGCCACAGCAAACACCTGTGTGACATTAAAATAAGTCCGACATTAAAGCTTATTTTCCACGGGATCAGGATTCACCAGACCAAACCTCTCTCACTCAGAACAAGCGAACCAATGCGTAAACTGCGGATTTCGCAACAGTTTTTCAGCCGATCGGTGGATGGCTCTTGTCTCGATTTTTGAACAGGGCGTCACCAAAAAGAACCTCACACGTTTGGGTGAAAAAGCAGTTTCCTAACAGAGAAGCAAATCTGTTTATGAACGGGTGCAGCGTACAGAATTGGCCTTCAATTATACCACATTTCCCCTTACTTATAATATTTAGGCTTTGAATACGGTCAAGCACGGGGCAGACTGTACGAGACCCAATGCTGAAGGAATTCATTGAAAAGAAACCGTGTTGAAGCTCGGACAAATGCTCGTACCTTGTGCGGCTTCTTCCATCGTCTGCCTGGCCACCATGTCCTTCTTTTGGCTGTTGTAGCTCATTCTCAGTTCTTTGCTGTACTCGTGGAGGGTTTCCCTGGAGTTGTAGGATTTGCCCGGGCTTCTATCATCTTCACTCTCATCTGAGGAGCTGGTGTAAGCCAGTTCCATCTCGCACCTGACTTTGGGCAGCGGCTGGTAAGGTTTGCAGTCCTTCTGGTCCATTCCTTGTGAAGCTGGCTTGGAGACATTAACACAGGGAGCTCCACATTGTCAACCCACAGCGACCTGGAAGACAGAGGGGAAAGAACACATTAGGCTTGAAAAACGTCCTGGAGTGCAGGCAAAATCTTCACTGTCAAACTGAGATAATGCACATTTGTTAATGATATGTGTTTTATTTTTCACAAATACTGTTGTTTTGCTGAGATACGGTTTCCTGCTACAAATTAATATGTACATAGCACGGATGCAGGCCATTTGCCCCAATGCTGAGCAAAAGAGGAGGGTTTTCTCTTTAAGCACTCTCGAAGAGATAGTCCTTGCCAGTGTTTTTTACTCCACAAGAAGCCCTCTACCATTCTTACTCCCCTCACTTATACCCCTTATATATATAATATATGCATCAATTTCTTCTTAAAAACAGTGATGCTCTCTGCTTCAACCACAGCTTCTGGCAGCAAGTTCTGCATTCTCATCACCTCTCATCGTGAAGTTCCTTCTAGTTTCTCCTAAACTCCCTATCAGATCCACCCCTGGCCATCTTACATTTACGTCCCCTTGAAGTGGACTCACATTTGATGAACCTGCACTGGAAAACCCATCAATAGAAAACCTAATACCTAAATCTCCAAGTTAATTTTTGTGCAGTAATAGACATGGCTGAGAGAAAGAACAAGAGAGAGAGAGAGAGAGAAATAGTCTGAGCTGATATTTACACAGATGAGGCTGAGCATTGAGTTAATAAACACTCTCCCTACTTGAGCAAAGAGCGGTTTGAAATCAATGTGCGATTTATTTTTTCAATGGGCAGACGGATGGATATTTTGTAAGTCACTTGTGTTCACAATGACAGAAGGTCTCCAGTCTATGACCTTTTTTCTTTTAATCAGCAAGAGCCCCATTATCACTAATTTAATCTTATAAAATTGTTACTTGGAACTATCAGTTCATTTTTCCAAAGTGGTGCTATTTTCTGCTATACAATCAATAACAGTGTGACTGAATCCACAAAAGAAAGAGAGAGAGAGAAAAAGATGATCAACTTTGTTAGATACAAAGCACTCCACAGTATCAGTTCTTAGATTCTCCAAAGATATTAGAGGTATGCGTGACACCTGGCGCTTAGAGGAACTGTGTTGTTTTTAAGCCAACGCAGCCACTTTGTCACCCACAAAACATACGGTCAGTTTACAGTATACGCTGTGAAGCGTTTTGAGACATCTAGAAGACGTGATGAGGCACTATATCAAATGCAAGAATTATTCTTATTCTTTACAACAACAACTTGTACGTACGTAGCGCCTTTTAGGCAAGACAATGTCTCGGAGCGCTGCATAGCAGCGGGGTTGGACGCTGAGCATAAGAGGAGGAAGGTGGTGGGGAGGTGAGTGTAAGGCGCTGTCAAAGAGATGGGTCTTAAAGTGAGATTTAAAGATAGATAGAGGAGGGATTTTCAAAGCACTATATTGGGAGTATCAGCAAAAGCCTCTATGTGTTCAAAGTCCTGACTGACGTGGGGGGCTTGAACCCACAAACTTCTGACTCAGGGGCGAGAGTGCTACCGACTGAGCCCGACTGACACGTACGCTTGTACCAAACCCCAGAAGAGAACAGGTCTAGTCTGATGTGAGCCAACAGCAGATTCTCACTCTCTCGTCCCCGTTGAGAGATGGCAAGCTTCCATTGGTAGATGACTCACTCAAGATGGGCGAGTGGAGAGCGGTAGATTCTGAGCTTGAAAACACCTTGTCCCTTGGCTCTGCGAAGGAGAATAGCTCCTCCAGCTTGTCACACTGACCTTCACACCCACCAAATTTTTTAATATATATATAAGCGATGAAATTTTATCTGGACACCAAGCTGAAATCTTTCTGAAACAACCGATTCAAGCAATCTGCACAGATCCACAGTTCTGCATGTCTTCCTGTGCCTATGTGGAACACTTCGCTGATCGATATCTCGTTGCCAGTGTCAGCACAATGAATAAAGTTCTTTAGAGACAGAATTGAGTGACCTTTGCACAAGCTACTTAATGCTTTTTTTTTGCACAAAGGAATCTTTCTTTTGTGACCTTTCTGTCAGCTCGCTGACAAGAACAATACCTGTGCTGGGAACTGTGCACAGTACCTCAAAGATTAACTGTCCAAATCGCAGTGCGCAGTCCACTGTATTTCTCAGCAAGCAAACTGGGTTCATTAACAGCTCAGGAAGATTTCTGAAAACTGTCATGTAGTGTACATCCAGCCCGGTTACTCCTGGATTATTTTTCCCACAAAGCTCTGGATGCTGTTGCTTTGAATACACTTTATCACAGCACCACTTTGCCAGGCGCGTTACTTTAGGCACCTGAGACTGAAACTTGTGACCTTCCAGTTGAGAGTCAAATGCACAGCCAGTTGAGGTGCCGAGCCAATTCCTACAATAGCGAGCATTTCTTTTTCTTCACACGTTTCCCCCTTGCAGGCATCTGGCCAACTTCCATCGATCTCCAGCTGAGAGAACAGGGCTCACTGGCTTGCGTGTTCCTCCCAGGCTACAGGCGACCATGCTCCAATTCCTGCCCGTCAAGAATCCTTGGTTAAAGTGGGCCAAGGCCGTTTCGTTCCCGAACATGAAGCCATCGCTGCTGACTGGGTCTGAGACGCTATCCTGCGTGGAGGGTGCTATGTAAGTGCAAGTTGTCGTCGTCTCTGCGACAACACAATCGGGAGACAACACAATTGGGAGCCAACGCTATGACTCAGACAGATCATTTCAAGTGATGGGGACAACCCTCCCTCCCCCAACCCTCCTCCCCCTCCTCTATTTACAAGCATTAGCCACAGTTTGTGAAAAAAAATGTTAAATTGTTTACCTGCTTCTTTTCATTCCCCACCTTAAATGCCTTTTTTTTTAAAAAAGCCCCCCCCCGCCACCTGTTAAAACAGTGTCCCTTATTTCCATGATTTTTATGGAGGGAGGGGGGAAAGAGGAGGGGGGCAAAAAATTCCCAGATGTTGTGATCACTGGTGCACTTTTTGATGTGTGAGCCTCACCGATGCTGTAAATCTGTTGTAAAATCAGTGTGTTGCGAAGAGTCTGATTGCAATTAGTCTCTATACTACTGGCGGCTTCAAGCTCCGCCACTGCTAAGTGCTCGCTGAAATGCTACCTGCATGAAGGGCACTATCCAAATGCACGTTGTTGTTGTTTTTGGTCACCTAAGGTGCGGTCCGCAACACTAGAAGTGTTTTCCTCGTTGATCTGTCTTTTCCTCCCGGGTGGATTTCCAGAGCCAGGCATTAAAGCAATAATGAGTCAGAATTTCTTGAAGGTCTTCATAAAGCAGAAGCTTATAGATTGTGAGGCTTCTCTGAGTGACGTCTCAACTGGATTGGAGAGAATAAAGGCCAGTTTAATATTGCCCGCTGTGTCAATCGCTTTTAAGATGACCAGAATGTCCGCACATGAAACGAGTGAATTAAAAAAAACTAACGTTAGAAGATAAAAGAGGAAGATATGAATACCATTAGCAAGCTTAATGAGAGCAAGTGACCTCTTCGCACTATTCAAGACACATTCGGAGATTCTACCTGTAAATCTTAGCAGAATGTTGCCTTTGAAATGTCAAAGACTATGGGCAGATGTCCAAGGAGGCACCTGGAACTTTTAGCTCACGATGTTTCGGTGAGAAAGACAGCGGTGCTCGGGAAATCATAAAGGATAATAATAATAATACTAATCCTTGCATTTGACATAGCGTCTTCGAGATAACATTATGGGATATAGTACAAAGGTAGTTCCGACCACCAGGAAGGTGGGAGGTGAACTAGATGGACCTTGGTCTTTTTTTTCCCGTAGCGTTATGTTGTTCGAGATAATAAGTCGGGATGATAAAGAACCTTTCGACATCCAATGGAGGAGCGACAGGTAGAAGGATATTATTCGTAGAATTGTAAAAAAACAATCTGCAACTAAACATTTCGACAAACTAAATGAGCCGAGAAGGACGCACAGATAAATATTCAGTGACGTGCAATGGGGTGCTGAGAAAAAATAAATGGCTTCTAAGAAATAAATGCAGGTATCAGATAGTAGCACTCTCGCATCAAGTCAGATAGTTGTCACTATAATCTAGAGTAAATCGCTTTGAGACACCCTCTGATGTGAAAGAAGCTATATCAAATGCAAGCATTAATTATTATACGACAGGGGAACAGGAGTGAAACATTGAACTTCAAAGCTCTCTGAACAGCAGAGGGAAATCTGCTGCACTTTTTCCTCTCAGAAACACTGTGGAGACAGGTTGAGATGGTGAGACCTTTGCAATTCCAAGCCGCTCTGCTGTCATCTCCTATATCTGTACCGCAGATACTGTGCAATAATACTTAAACTTTTTTTGGGTTCAAATGAGAGACAAGACACCTGGCGCTCCAGGATACGACCAGAGATTAAAAGAGTGGGAGCGTAGAAAAGATAAATCAGGAAGTAGTGCTCTGGGACTTGGGATTTAAAGGCTTGCAAAGTGCAGGAGACAGGCAGAAACAGACAGAGAGAAACAGAAAAGAGTTCCATGCTTTATTGATCCTGGGAAAAGATTGAGTTGAGGATACAGTCGGTCCTGATCATAATGCAACGAGAGGCAAAGGAAACAGATAGAGAGCGTAGCCTGGCACATCAGACAGATTAAGAGAAACGTTCAGAGTGTGGCTACAGCAGCAAAGAAAGAACGAGACGAAAGAGAGCAAATGCTTTGGAAGCTTGACCTAAGAGAGTGTGTCTCATATTGCAAGGTGACGAGAAATGGCCGTCAGGAATATTGTGAGGAAAGTGGGATTCCCAATGGTGACAACAACAACCTTCACGTGGGGTAGCGTCCTGGAGTGCTTCAAACTCCAGGACGCTATCCTGGGCTTGATACTCTTGGGAGCAAATATGATGGGGCATTAAGTCACCTACACGCTCACGCTCATTTCCTGCCCTTGAATCAGTAAACATTTTATCCAGAACTGCTACCGATCCACCTGCAAATGGAAAGTCTTCATGCCTTGGGATTTTACAATTGAAAGTCATTGAGAGTTTGGGGC